TATATATATATATATGATTTCATACAGCTATTATGCAATGACTGTTGAATTTATTTATTTGGTATATAACTTTTTTGGGGGACTTTTTTTTGTGCAAGTTATAACAAATACATGTTTTGGCAGTTTTCCCAAAAACTATTAATCTGTATTTATTAAGTATATATCCTTTTTCAAAATTAAAAGCAGAAAAGTATATTTGTTATCTACTTGATGTAAAAAACTCTAAGGATTTAATTATTCAGAAGGTATCTGTACTGAATATGTAGATATATTTGATACTAAGGAGGAAAGTATATTTATAATTTTTGAATAAGCTGTACTTTAATTGGTTATAATTCCCCCCCCCCCCCGAGAAGTATTGTAAGCAAACTTGTAGCATTAAATAAAGTAGAACAACTATTCTATGGCAGGACAATGTGCCATTTAATTTTTTTTATTACTAGTTTCAGGAGAATGAAAAAGTTTGTAGAAGTAGATCTCAACTCATTTAGAAGTGGGGCAGGTAATAAATGCTCAATTAACACACTCCCTCAAAGAAGGTCCAATAGAGTGATAAGATTGAAAGCATTTATTTATTTAGGGTATGACATTAACTAGGAGACTACAGTGTTAGTATAGAGTAATTATTTGGCTGTCACGCTCGTGCACTATCCATGGTGCATCACAGAATGAACTAGCGCCACATTCAGAATGGTTAACAGCAGAGGTGAATTGCTCCGGCTGGGCCCGGCTTGGGCAAACTGGTGGTGGCGGTGGCGGGAGGCTCCACCCACCTACCCAGACACTTCTGCACAGAAATGGCATGTGAGCGCACACGAGCAAACCGGTAGTAAAAAAAATGGAAACCCACCACTAGTTAACAGCATTCTGCAGTGTCATCTGGAGCTTTTCTCTCCACAGATATTGCCTCGCATTTCGGCATTTGGGCTGCTCCGGTACCGGTTGGGATCATACTTTCTCATGTCATGCTGTTATTTCTCTCACTTAAGTGATATCTATTTATCAGTATGTAGTTTATGTGTAACATGGTTTTGAAGCTTGGAAGAAGCTGAGGCAAGTGATTGGATTAGTCCATCACATGTTGGTAGGATTTTAATCACCAAAGCACAGACCTTCTCCAGAATTTATAAGGCAATTCTTAAATGAGTAGACCGAATACAACAGCTTGCCCTTTTTAAATAAGAGGACAGGGAAAGACTGTTAAATATTAATGTTCCCACTGAAAAATTCATTACTTTTTATTCAAATGTCATTCATACTTGGGGAAATATTCAGCCTCTCTAACCCCCTAACTCATTGAAATGTCTGTATTAAGGGTGTTATTATGATCTATCATTAAGTAAAAGATATCCAGAATATTTGTTCTGAAATAAAATATACACATACCGGTGTACTCTTCTGTTTGAATACTATGGTATTCAAAATCTACACTTCTTTCTCCCAGTTCAAGTAGGTAGGCTTTTAAAAATTCAGTATTGTAACTATAAATATCAGATGAACTTTCCCAGGTATAAAGGAGAAGTTTGCAAAATTAAATTTAAATGCTAAAATGAAAAATGTATCAGTGATTGAAGTCAGTTTATAACCAAAAATCTATAAATTTAATTATTCCTCAATAATATTTAATATGGTCTATTCAAGCATACACCAACTTCAGTGAGATTTGTTTTCATGCTATATTTAGAAGGGATTTTTATGTTCAAGGTACAATTTTGTTCCAAAGTGAAATAATCTTGTATATCTTCTATCATTTTTTTAAAAAAAAAAACTGAGACAATATATCTGGCTCTTAAAAGAAAGAATGCACAGTAGGGTAAAAAAGCACAAAATGAATGCCACATTGTTATGGTAGGTAAAAGTTTTGAAAGAATTCCAATTCTTTACAGTTTGCTTGTTTAAATTAGTACTGCCTTATTTGTTTATTTTCCTAAGCACAGATTAGCATTCTTATCCCATTAATGCTTTTTCAACTAACTAGATTTAAAGATAAAAAGAAGGACAGGAAATTGGTAGTCCCAAATCATAAATATATTTGCAGTTTCCTGGGGAGCAGCCTTATTAATCTGTTGCAATAAAAATAACATGCAGGTAGTACTCAACTTATGGCTAAAACTGAGCCTAAAATATACATTGCTGAGCAAGACAGTGGTTAAGTCTGTCGCGCCCCCCCCCCCCATTTTATGACCTTTCTTATTAAGTGAATCACTGCAATTGTTAAGTTAGTAACACAACTGTTAAGTGAAGTTGGCTTCCCCATTTGAGTTTGATCTCGGGATACAGCAATCCCTATATATACAGTATATGTGCCAGTTGCAAGCATCTGAATTTTGATCATGTGACCATGGGGATGCTGCAGTGTTCATAAATATGAAAAATGGTTACAAATAACTTTTTTTAGTGCCATTGTAACTTCAGTCACTAAACAAATGGTTGTACTGTATTTTGCCAAATAATCACACTTATTGTGCTTTATGAGAAAAATTTTAGGGAGCAAAATGGAAGTGCATTTATGATTATGATTTATTCATTACACTTCTACAGCACTTCCCACACTCAGTATTGGGTCAATAGAAGTTGTATTTTTGAGATATAAACTTCATCGTGCCATGCAAGGCTTTATATTGTCCTTGAGTTGGTAAGGTATTGTGTTAGTTGACTATTTGTTAAACTTATTTGGAAGATTTTTATTTTTTGTTTTGTTTTAAAGTATTCTCTAAGTAAGCTTACAGGTTAAGGGTCCTTAAATGTTACTGCTTCATTGAATAAATCTGGTGCAAGTTTATATTCAGCTATCCTGAATTGTGTGTTAAGAACTGATGTTTTGTAATGCATAGCAATTTCTTTTTGCCATGTATTATTAAATTATTTGTTGGCAGAAATATTCATTAAATTGGTCTATGATGGGGGGGAGAAACATCTTTTCTTGAACTTCAGAGAACTTTTCTTCATATAGTGATTCTCTCTGTGATATATTATAGTAAACCAATTATTTGTTAATGTACTAAATTTATAGCATGTTGCTACTGACACATAAGACATTATTTGAGGATTTGATAAAGACTGCCATAAAATGTTAATAAAGATTCATATCTAATCTCTTTCAGGTTTATTTCCTGCCATTCTAAACCTAGCTAGTAACGCTCATATCAGCACTAATGCTACTTGTGGTGAAAAAGGCCCTGAAATGTTTTGTAAACTTGTGGAGCACGTTCCAGGCCGACCCCTACGTAATGCACAGTGTCGAATTTGTGATTACAATAGTGCAAATTCCAAAGGCAAGTTTATTACATCATACTTTTTCTAGACATTTTGTGAATCATTGTCTACCAAGTAGATCAGACCAGGAAGGCAACTCTACAGGAAGGCTAAAATGACTTTTATTGAGATTGGCTATAATAATAGAATTTTGCAACTCTGATTATATTGAATGCTACATAGTATATTGTTCTTGTATTTGACTGAATTAAAGTTATTAATTAAGGTGCTTCTGAATGTTAACTCATTGTTATGAATTTTCAGCTGTAACTACCTGCATATTTCCATCAAGGTCCTTATTCTTATTCACTACACCCACAACTATTTGAGTAGAGCATGTCATGTGAAGGCTCCAATTTAGATTAAAACAGAATTCTGAGTTGTATTTAATCTTAGATTTGTGGGCTGGTCTTTATATAGCATAGTCTAGATTGATTGAACTGATTTATTTTCTTTTGTAACATGTATACATTAATATATGTGAGTGGTTGTAGCATGGCAATAATACATTAAAAGAAACTGGGAAAATTTGATTGTAATTTGTGTTTATTTTAGAACAACATCCTATCTCAAATGCTATAGATGGTACTAATCACTGGTGGCAAAGTCCTAGCATTCAGAATGGAAGAGAATACCATTGGGTAACAATAACTCTAGACCTAAGACAGGTAGGTAGAGGCAGTTTGTTTTCATTCCTAAAGGACTATTTGATATCTTTTATTATTGTTCTAATGTACAGTGATGGCAATTGGAAAATTATCTCATGTTTATTAGAAGAAATAACCTACATTGAAGGTCACCTGTATCGTTATCGCCATAACATTTCTGTGAAGTAGATTGGATTGAGATAAATAAATGCCCATAGCAACTCAATGCATGCAATATCCAGTTGACTCTTACATTTTAATTTTTTTCTGTTCATGTATATATCGACACACTGTACTAACAAATGTCAAAATTGCTCTAAACTATTGCAGTGTAAATTAGCTGACACTCAGTTGATTGGCTGTATATATAAACAACATATATGACACATCACTTAAACTTTCATCCTTTCTTTTGAAAGCCTTTGATTACTAGAATTCAGCAAGAAGTGCTGAGCTTTCTCTGGATTGAGTGCAATATTTGATCTTGAATAGCGTGCTAAGAAACATTAAAAAAATGTGGTGAGAACGAAGATGAAACAAAAGTAATTTCATTTGTATTTAACAACTTACAGAAAACATAGTAGTTGTCTTTGCTTACTATTATATTAAAAATGCAGTTTGGTTAGTGCAGCTTAGCTAAATGTTCTGTACTAAATGAATAAAGTGACCAGATTTTAAAATTGGTAAACCGGGACACCATTGACCAGGGGGGGGGGGAGAGAAAGAAATCGAAGGGGTGCCCAACACGTACCCAGTGTGCCCAGGTCCTTCTTCTTGCCTGGCCTCATCTTCACCCTCTGGCTGCCTGAAGTCTTCCAGCCCGAGCACTAGCAGGAGTTGCGGGGCAGGCTGGCCAAGCGGCCTCGTGCACGTAGTTTGCCTCGCCACCCGATGGAGGCTGCTCTGCTGCTGGCCCTGCTGCGCCTCTGCTCCGCCGCGGAAGATGCCATCGCCCCCCCCTCGCCGGCTCTTCCCGCCCGGACGCTCACCGCCTAGGAGCCTTCCAGCCCACCCGGGGCGAGTCGGCTGTGGTGTAGCCGATGGTGGGCAGGAAGGTTTCGGGTGGCTCCTGGGCGGCGATGCCACTGCCATCCGCTCGCTGGCTCTTCCCGCCCGGACGCCCGAAGCCTTCCAGCCCGCACAGGGCGAGTCGGCTGCAGTGCATCCGGTGGTGGGCAGGAAGGCTTCGGGCGGCTCCTGGGTGGCGGGTGTCCGGGTGGGAAGAGTCAGTGAGGGTGGCGGTGGCATCTTCACGGTGGAACAGAGGCACAGCAGCGCCAGCAGCAGGGCAGCCTCCATCGGGCGGCGAGGCGAGCTCCGTACGTACACGAGGCCACTTGGCCAGCCCGCCCAGCCCGCCCCCGACTCCTGTTAGTGCTCTGCAGCATGCAGCCACCGTGCAGCCTCCAGCCGTGCAGGCCGCCCTCCAGGCGCACAGCCACTATCGTCCTGCAATTCCTTGGTGGTGTCGGTGGCAGCGGCGGCCGCGGGACCTCCTCCTCCTCAGCCACCGCCATCTTGGCTCCCCCTCCCTCCAAGCCCCCTCTCTCTGGCTTCCCTCAGGCCCCGCCCTGCTCTTCCCTCGCCGTCGCACAGCTGGTCCTGGCAGCACTGCTGATGACCTTTCGTCCACTCACCCATGAAAATTGGGACTTTTTAAAAATGTTGCGGGACGCGGGAGAAAGCGAAAAAGCGGGACGTCTGGTCACCTTATAAATGAAGGAACTTAAAATAAGTGAGCAAAATTGATAGACACTCATACATACATTCTTAATCTGTGCTAAAATTGAATGATTATCTTTTGAAAAAGGATTAAAGGATTATTTTGAAATTATATATCAAAACTCCATCATGAGATAAGAAAACTATTTCTTTAGAGAGTTTTAAAGATGAAAGAATACTCAGAAGAGCAATTTATGTCTCAATACTAAGCCATTATTTGTAAAAAGGATCACTTTTCTATGAAAAGTTAAGTGATAACTTAAAATATGAAACAGCTGTTGACCTAGCCAGTTATATAAATATGGAAGTAGCTCTGATTAAGTAATTTGCAGTTGATATATATTTTATCAGCTTTGAACTAGCTTTTCATTATATGGCATTTGATTTAAAATTTAATTTGTAAGAGACAAAATTAACATTGGCCCATCTGCAGTTCACTGCTAAACATATTATTCAGACTTTAATTAACTTTTTAAAAAGAAGCATCATATCATTTATATGTATAAAGTTTTTTTCCAAATCGGCATTGCATCTTTCTTCTTAAGGCATTCCAGCATTCATTAAATTGATTTTATATCTTTCACCATCAAGTGTCCCTTTTTCCTTATTTCTTTCTGCTTTACAGCATTTTATTTTTTTAAAAAAGCATTTCATACCAAAATACATTTGTTTTCAGTAAGAAAGCATTTGGCTTAATAAAGATTGCCTGGGTTCTGTGAATGATTACTTCTCAGTTACTAATTTTAACATGGAGAAATTGCTGAATGTATTCCAAGTTCTTCAGCTGTTTGAATTGCCTCAAGGGGAATACATATATATTAATTTCTAAAACTAATCTTGAATTATTAACCATTTTCCAAGTAGATATAAATTAAAACATACATTAATAGTATATTAGTTTTAGAGGGTTAATTTATACACAGTAAGTGAAACAATCTGTAGTTTGATAGTAAATCTAATCTGCCCATTGTAAAACACAAGGTGATGAAAATCAGTCCACTTTTATGGAAGATAATAAACTGCCAAGAGTGGGCAGAAAAGAGCAAGAGATGTGGAGTTATTTATTCATTATCTTTTGAAACAAAATGACACATCAAAAATGGCTTCTTTTTTAAGATAATTAATAATTTGTTAGAGTGATCGTTGGATTAATATTATATCCTCCCAGCAGTATCTTCTGGGAGGAGTATCAAAGTAGGCAAGATGGTAGTCACAGATTGCAGTGGCCCTGGTTGATATCACACAAATGTACAAAGGGGTGGAATTTCAATCACAATGACATTATATTCAGTTAATTATGGTTAAGATAAACTATAGTTCTTAATCAATTGTGTGCAAACTGTTTGTTGTACCTGGTCTATGAAACCAGGTTGGTAGCTATAAGACCAGGACAAAGAAAAGATTGCAGGTAAAATCTCTTTTGAGTCAGTCATTATCTTTCATAACTTTATGTACTTGTTGTTTTCTGTTCTACAGTAATGGAATGATTTCTAATTGCCTTATTTGGGTATCTGCATTTTTATTTAGTTTCGAGTCCAGTCTAAAAGTCTGATATTTTCTGGTGGACTTTATTAAGAGTTTATTTTTCTTTTCTTTAGCTACAGATAATGGCTTTAATAGCTATATCACACCTCCAAGAATTTCCATCATTCCCTTCCCATTTCATATTTCCAAGTAACATACATGAGGAAACAGATCAAATAAAAGAATAACAAAGTGAAAAGTGGAAAGACCTGGAGGGTAGCAAGAGCATATTAATGGATTTTTTTGTGCCTTGGTAGTTGTGCAGTTGTTCACGTGGCTGTGAAGGGAGAATAATAGGGCAACTGTTGATGGGAAATGCAACAAAAGGTTTCTTTGCATTTGCTGCCTCCATTTATTTTATACAGCCGAACTAGTCATGCATTATTTATCATTAGAACATTATGGTTTGAGGCAAATGCAATCTTTAGTAATGGAATTGTTAGCTAACTTTATACAAAAGACTATAATGTTTCCCTAAAGGGAAAAACTCTTTTTTGTTGTTTTAATTAAAATTAATTGATTCAAGGAGAATTGGGTGCTGAACAGAAGTTTCTTTATAGTAAGGAATAATCTGTCTTGAAAAGTGTTCGACCTAGACTTACTAGAGGTTTTCAAACAGGGACTGATCTGTTGATTATGGTTTTGTGAATTCCTGTATCCAGCAGGAAATTGAATCAGATTATCTATTGGATCATTTCCATCTCATCTAAGTTAGAAAACCTGCAACAATTTCTATGCATGACTTAAGGGTATAGGACAATTCAGGCATAGATTTAAATCCAAAGTATTTGTGCTAGGTCTGTGTGTGGACTTGGAACATGAGCATTCTGGAAAAGATCTTCTGGAGTTGAAGAGAGAGGGGCTGACAAAAGGAAGGCTCATAGCATGTGGACATGGAGAAGTAGAATGTATGTGACAGGTGGGTGCTAAACAATGAGAAGAGGAAAGGAAGGTGTGCATTGGAGATGAAAAATAGGTGGTGTTCAATGAAAGCAGCAAGTGGGTATAGAAAGATGGTGGCATCCAGGAAAGTAGAAAGTAGGAGGTGGGTGGGAAGGAAGCTTTGTGTTGCTAGAGAGGTAAGGTGCCTGGAGCCAGTGAATGCAACAGTAGGAATGAAGTGGCAGTGGGAAAGGAAAGAATGCAGTAGTAGAGAATGGGTAGGATGACACTGGTGGCACAGGGAAGTTCAGGTAGGTATGGATAGATCTAGTGTATGGCACACTTAATTTCCCTTCTGATGATGTTCAGAAAGTTGCTGAAAACATGCTTGTTTTCCATGTGTTTGAGTCAAAGTATTGATTGAGCCATCATAGGATGTTTTGTTGTTATATGTAGTTTCTCTTTTGAAAGTTTATGATCTTTTAAATTTCCTTTTTTAAAATTGTTCTTAGCTTTTAATGTCTGTCACCTGGGATATCTGCAGTTGAGAGATCTCTTAGCTGTGAATGAATGAATGAATGAATGAGTGAGTGAGTGAGTGAGTGAGTGAGTGAGTGAACAAATAAACAAACATGGCAGTGGTTAAGGAGAGTTAAAATAATGGTCTACCAAGAGTGGTCTTGCTGAACTTCTGCTCCAACATATGTTTGTTCCATTCATTTTTCACTTCATGCGTATCAATATATTCTCTGATTCTATGAAGAATAGAGAAAAAAATTATGCCTATACTCTTGCTTGGAAACAGACCAACTGCACCCGTGATTTTTTTGTGGGACAAAAGTTACTCAGAAAATTACAAACATGGGAATGGGAAAGAAAGATGCTATAACATGTGAATTCATAACATGTTCTGATCCAGTGATGCACTTCAGTTCCAACTGTTTCCTGATGAATGGTAAATATTAAAATCAATAACTAACTCAGCAAATTTATACACAGACAAAAGATGAGTTCAGAGTTACTGTACAAAAACCCAGTCCTAAAATATGTGGTGATTGCATAGAACAAATAAAGGAGAATATTTGTAGCTCAGGATTGAAATGAGGGGTCTTGGTGCTTCCTGAGCTTGGTTGTTTTCTTGCAGACATTTCATTACCCAAATTAGCTAATATTATCAGTGCTGCTAGTGATGATGTTACCTAGTCTGTGTAATGAAACGTCTGCAAGAAAACAACCAAGCTCAAAGAACTCCTGATTGCATAAAAATATTACTGCTTGAACTTCACCGAGCTTACATTCTTGCCTGTTTTTCTATGCTGTCCTCTGAAAAGTAGAATTAAAAAACACCATTTGCAAGTATTTCCTTAATTAGTTCTAACATACGACATCTGGAATGTTTAACTGATGGTTCCTAAATATTAGTCATATGCACACTTTAAAATTTATTAGGAAAAAAAATATTCATCATTGCACAATCATGGCATTTCTAGACTATTCATTAAAGCACACCTGTACTTTAAAAAAATCTGAAAAAAGATACATTATGGCATGCACAGCTGTATCAAATCTATTAAGATTAGGAATTTTTATTTTGAAGCAAATACTCAAATACAAGCTCCCCCCCCATTCTATGCAATAATTACATTATGACAGGTTGTGATACCTAAGGGATCTCAGTTTCCCACAAATAATAGGAAGACATTAGAAGTAAAATTTATTTTTAAATGCTACAGCTGCATTATGCATGTTTTTAAACTCAGATACTGCACCTGAGTAATGTAAGAATATTGGTGCTAGAAACTTTATGTATATTACCCGAAGCTAATATAAAATTAAAGTAGTACTTTTATGATATTGTATTATTTGCAATTTGTTGATTATGTTAGAAATTATGTAAATAAGCAATTGCAGTTTACACAGACCTAATTACAGATCTCCCAGACCCATAATTGTCTTAAATCACACAAATAGCTTACATAATAGGATAGAGAACTAGTATGGCTCTCATTAGATTTTTTTTATCCTTAAATGGTAGCCTGTTAGATCATGGTTTTTTTAATACCATATTTTTCAGAGTATAAGATGCACCTTCCTCCCCAAAAGAGGGTGAAAATCTGGGTGTGTCTTATACACTGAATACAGCATTTTTGGCCTACCGAAACTCCTTCCCCTTTGCTAAAATGGACGTGCAGAGGGTTTGGGAGGCTTGCAAAGTGCTCCTGGGGGCTGGGGAGGGCAAAAACGAGCAAAAATGGGCCATCTTTGCTCATTTTTGCCCCCCCAATCCCGAGGAGCACTCTACAAGCCTCCCAAAGCCTCTGTACGCCTGTTTTTTTGTGGAAAAAAATGGTCCATTTTTGCAAAAAACGGGCCATTTCATGCTCATTTTTGCTCCCCCAGCCCCCAGGAGCACTTTGCAAGCCTCCCGAACCCTCTGCATGTCCATTTTTGCAAAAAACGAGCCATTTCATGCTCATTTTTGCTCCCCCAGCCCCCAGGAGCACTTTGCAAGCCTCCCGAACCCTCTGCATGTCCATTTTTGCAAAAAACGAGCCATTTCATGCTCATTTTTGCTCCCCCAGCCCCCAGGAGCACTTTGCAAGGCCTCCCAAAGCTCTTCATGCCCCCCCTTTTTTTGCAAAAAA